TGCTTTCCAAAGTTTTGTATTTTAGTAATATATACACATAACATATATATATATATGTAGAGATTATATTACAACTATTGTAGAACATAACAATTAAATACCATCTGATTAGAACGCTCAATTGGAACTCTTATCTAAAAATTGCATAGGACCTGTCTTAAAGTCCTACTATTTAACGAATAGTCAATATACTAAATAAAAGTAGATGTTGGCTTAAAAAATTAACTAAGTGTAAAGAGCTTGAGATAGAAAAGTTTTTCAAAAATTCTTTATTTTGTTGGAAATAAATGTTTTCATTGTCTAAAGAAGAAAAAGGGATGTTTTAAACTATGCATACAAAAATAATTTCTAAGCTCAATATATTTAAAACTATAAATAATTAACTAACAAAAAATCATAATTTCTAGATATTACTTTTTACACTTCCACTAGTAAGCAAAACTCGAAAATAATAAAAACAAGATACAACATCTAGTGTAATCCGATTGGACTTATACAACGAGGGATTATCTGTATCCCTAAAGTCATTTATTGGGGAAATAATGGATTTCTTTTTACTATACCTAATGTCATAGTCTTGAAAAGCACTCCAGTGGCAAGCTGTAATTATTTTCAAAATAAAAGCAGAACTCTTAACTTGTTATAAGACCAGCGTACTCTCGAACCATGAACTTCAATGAACTTTAAATGCATATTTATATATATACCTTGTGATCAAAAAAGAACTTTAATTTTTAATTCTTAAATTCCCGCGCTTATCCAATCGGTAAATTTTTCTTATTTTCACGCTGGCAACACTATTATACACATTCTGTCAAAGTTGTACGATTAGTTTTTGTTTGGCGTCTATATAAAGAAGTTGAAAAATTTTCGTGTGGCCAATTGGATACCGATTGGATAAGTGCGGGAATTCAAAAATAGGCCTCTCGTTCTTTTTTGATCAGAAGGTACATATGTATATACTAGGGTGCACAGCACCAGCGTTATATTCATACATCGTCTTTCATATTGAACAATTTTTGAATACTTTTACTATTCTCTGAAAGAAACATCAAATTTTATTCTAGTTTGAAGTTCTTAAAAAAATTTGATGTTTCTTCTAGAGTTTGTTAAAAGCACATATGTACATATTGTTGAGTATGAAAGAGTACGTATAAAAATAACGTTTGTCCTTCTTCATGTAATCCCAATATTAAACATTATTTTTTGATACAAATCAAATAAAAATGACATGACATTGCATGATAACGATAAAATAATAATGACCCGGCACATATGTATATATATATATAAACAACTTTAAAGCTTAGAGCCTTAACATTTGACCGATTTTTTGTTTGGAAAACTAGCTGTTGAAAAAACGAAAACGTGCTTCTTTCTCTTAATCACTTACTTCTAACTTAAGTAAAGTATAATCTATATTGTTTATAGTCTTCTCGTTTTATTTGTACTTCAAAAATAGAACCAAATACTTCACTGACTATGGTGATATATGCTGTTTGCAGATATTGAACATTGGCATCAAAGCCACTTCTCAATATAAAATATGAAATGCTTTTGATGCTTTAATACCTTAGTGTTATTAGTGTCAGCTGAATCCAATGAATCTAAGTATATTCAGTCTGGTGAAGGCTATCAAAATATTAAAATCTTACATTTCTGTTTATATAAAGATTAGAAGCGCATAATCTTTACAAGAAAAGCGCGATATGTTATTTACAACGACTTTTAACTGTAAGTCTATTTTACATGACTGAACACACATACATACACATGTGTATAGTTATATCGATTTCCATCTTAAGCTTTATAAGGTTTTATAAATTCTAATCCACACTAAGTGGAACACACATGAGCCAGAGATCTATTATAGACATGATATGCATTAATTAAAATTTTTAGAATATTTTATCTATGCATGTATAAAGCAACCAGTATATATAAATTATAATTTATTAAAATATTTGGCAAACAACATATAACTATTTTAACACTAATCGATTACAATTTGTCATCTACATCTACGAGTTACATCCACGTCAATCTTCAATTTATACTGAGGAATGTTTCCTATCTCTGTTTCCTTCGTTAAGACACAAAATATTTAAAAACATATATTTAAAATTTCTAATATACAATATAAAATAAAACTCTTCTGCGTTAATTCGATTTAAAAAACATACCATTTTTGAGATGTAATAGATTTGTATGTTTCAGTGCTTGTTTGTACAGTATTAAAATATTTAAATGACATCATTTGTATTTTAAAAGAAACACTAAATTTTTTTAAGCAATTTATTAAAATAATATGTGTTACTAGAAAAATTCAAAAACAAAAAAAAAAAAAAAATAAAAATACACCCAACAACAACATAACCAAATCAATAATAATAATACTAATAATAATAATTAATAAAAATATTAAAATGAGACAAAATTGAACAAAGCATAATACAATAATAATAATAATAAAAAACAATAACAAAAAAACACACTTCGTAGAAGATAAAGTTGATTATATTGCATCAACTCTTGCTTCTGCCATTTTGTACTCCCCCCACTAAGCCTCTCGATATCTGTACTACGTTTTATAGTTATGAAAATAGCAAAATATTTAAATTAATTATAATTTAAAATTAACCTCAAGTTGAGCTTTTCAAGTACGAAAAGTCACAACAATGGTATGTACCTATATGGTATATATTAGTTGGCCAAGCAGTACACATATTTCAACTAATAGAATACAGTCAAAATTGTGTCTTAATGCACCACTTCTACATTCTACATATAAAATATAATTGGTATTCAGACGAGCTTAGCAACTCGGTAACCTGGTGAAGTGATAAAGCTCTATGAATATTCGCTCTTGTGAAGTCACAGCGTTACCTAGTCACCAAGTTTAATCACTTTTTTGGTATTCTGTAAAATATCAGCTGATTTTTACATATTGTTGAGAAATATTGTACAAAATTTATATTTAACATAATTTGAAATTTAAAATGCTTACCAAGTTCCAAGTTATCGAATTACCGAATTACCGAGTTAAATTATTTCACTGTCTTCTCAGTTTTACAATAGGTCAGTTTCATATGGAATAATTAACTTATACAAAATAATGTCTTTGGTTATCTTATAATATTTTTTAAATACTTTTCTAATTTATATTATTAGATACAAAACATACGGTTAATTGTCCTATAGTGTATAGAGAACTCACCTAACTCACCTAGTCGTCTGGCCGAAATTAGGTGTTTTTATTGAACAGTATTGTGCAGCTAAATTTGCTTGCTAGGATATAAATATTTCAACAAAAGTTCTTAGTGTTTTTTAGTAAGCCGACAGTTGCACGAAATCATATTATAAAAGGCATTACAAACTCAAAAAGTACTATACCAAGTATGAATATATGTACATATATTATTAAAAATCCACGACTATTGGGCAATAAAAAATAGTTCTGGGCAGTACCTAGTTAAGTATACAATGTATACAACATATACATATATTATATAAATAGTGTTTTAAAAAAGAACCAGTTTACATTTTTGAAAATTGAAATTAAATTACATTTAAATAATAAATAACAAAACAAATTAAATGTTTAAAAAATTGTAGAAAAATTTGATGTGTAATGGCAAGCGACGACATCGATCGCTGACAGCGGACGATGCTGTGTAAGAGGCGCTGTATTTATCGTTGCACGTCCAAAATCACATTAAAAATTTATTAAATTTGGTTGCAAGTACTTTAAAAATATTACGGGAAAAAAAATCCCGTTGCACAGCGCGACATACTAGCGACTAAGTGCAAATGATAATTTGGATGAAATAAGTTGTGAATTATAATTCTGTTACACGATCGGGGTTTTCCCCTTTGAGCGAAACAAAAACAAATTTTATGTACTTTGTTTCATTTGTTACATTCAATAAGCGTTCCTCAGTTATATTAAAAACATGATTGTTTTCTAATTCATTTTTAAAATACAGTGTTTTAAAAATTTAAAACAGTGTTGGATGAAATAAGCTGGGAGCCACTGTATATGTAAGTAAATATTTATAATAATATAATACCTGGACTATTCCACTCCAAACAATAACTTTTTATCTTACATTTTAAAATATGGATATTTTAGTTAGTTAAGTGACAAAATTAGAAAGCAATAACTAATTAAGGTCGTGTGCGAGTTAGGCTAAGTTGATGCTAAACCAAATGGGAGATTTTTTGGGATTTTTTGCACTGCACACATTTAGCCATTTATCAACACGTATCGACACATCACTACATTATCGGCTCATCTTAGAATTTCCCTTATTTAGAACGCAACTTAGCCTAACTCGCACACGTCCTAAGTATCAACATCTCAGACAAGAATCAATGCGTTAAATTTACCGCACATCCTTTAAATAATGCAAAATAATAGGAATACACAAGTTGTGTAAACAGTTACTTGACAGTCTAAAAATGACACATGATTTGTTTTTGTTGTAGATTTCATTTATTTTACAACAAACTACTAAATGTTTTTTATATTTACATTCTTAATATAATAATTATTGAAAATTGATTACCAAAAATATTTACATATATTTAAACAAAAATCAGTATTATTATACCAATTAGTATAATAATACAAAACACTTTAAACATTATTTCACTCATACAAAATGCGTAAAAAACACGCTGTCAGTAAAGGGTTAAACTAACTCAGCAAAAACAAAGCGTACTCGACTCCTCCAGCAATTTTGCTTTTACATATTATTTTAGAGTTTCGTGCTGACCTTCTTTTTCGAATTATTTTATTATCATAATGTCTTTCTACTATTTTTGTTTGCAGTACAAAAACAGCATTGGCTTATTTTATTGTTTTTATTTTCCAAGGTAATTTTAATAAAAAAAAAATTGTTTTGCATACAAACAACATAAAGCAGTATTGGTTTTGTTTCTTTTGTCTTATTTCTTTCTTGATTTTTTAGTAATGAAAATACTTCTCTTTAACTTACGTAAAATCCTGATTGAAATTCACTAGATATCCTGCCATGTTCGTCCTTTGTTTTTGCGATATTTGTTTGTAGAATCAAAACTTCTGCTGTCTTTATAAAATTACTAAAAATTTTTACTTTCAATTTATATTTATTTCTGTATATGTATATATTTATTATTTATATATGTTAATATTTGTGTGCCCAAAAAATTTGTTTATTTGTACTCTTTATTTTGTTTAATTATTTTTAACTCGAAATCTTTGTTTTCGTAATTTGTGTATCAAAAATATTCGATTTCACTCTTTGTTATTTTTTCTATTGTATTTCCACACAAATTTTTTCGCGTTTCTAAGCTCAATTGCTTCCACTTAGTTTATTGTTTCTGTACGATTAACAAATTTGACTTATATTTGCTTGCTTCACTCTTTCATTTTCTGCTTTGTTTTTATACTACTTTTTCTGTATTCCAACAGCTGTTTCCTATATTGATTTATGTGCGCAGATAGTGCTACCAAAATCACATTCGCAGTGTTGTGTTTGGTATTGAAACAGAGGCACAAATCATAAATATTTTTATTAAAATTGCATATGTATGTGTTCCAAGTATTAATGAAAGTATTTTATTTAAAAATATATAACCGTTTTTGTTTTAATGTATGTAATATTTACTATTATAATTTACTATTATAATCACATAATATTTTCAAGTAAAAATCTAGTAAATTTATAAATGAAAATGAAATCATATGGTCTCTGAGAAAAGCAATTCAGACATGAAGTTCTCAACTAAAATCTAATAAATCAAATGTTTTTATTGCTACTGACTGTTTTGTTAGTATTACGAAACAATATTTCTTAAATTTTATATTATTTTTTTTAATTAATATTAGTTTTAATTAACATATAACTACGAATTTTTTGTTTTTATTTCTCAATACTATCTGTGAAATAATTTAAATGTTATGAGAAGAATTACAACTAATAAACGATCTTTTATTATGTTAGCCAAAATTTTTTCTTTCATAGTAGCAAAAAATACTCGCTACTTACGAAAGAAACCATGTGAAGCAATAGCAATGCTCTTAAAATCTTTAAAGTTAAGTTTTACTCGCAAAAAGTTTTACGTCTTAAGTTTACATACTAGAATTTGTTGTATTGTTAATTAGTAAATGAAATGTCCATATAATTTTACTGGACGACTGCAATTTTGTAAGATATTTTCAGTGAGCATTCACAATAGACTGATTTATGATTTTGGCTAGACTAATATTGAAGTCGTAACTCTAAGGATTTTGAAAGTATTGTTGTTGATTCACATGTTTTCCTTCGAAAGTTGCGGGTATATTTTGTTATTCTAAAGAAAAAATTACGGTGGTTAATATTTTTATTTTAAACTAATAATACAGTCCTGTTTAGGCGGACGTTCAAAATGTGTTCACAGATTTTGAACGAAACTTCCTTTTTTAACAATTTCAAACAAGCTTAATTCTTTAAATATTTAGAACTGTGGTCATAACCACCACCTTAAAAACAAAACAAACAAAACAAAACATTGGATCTGTTTTTTGCTTTTTGTTGTGAGTTGTATTTTAACTTAATATCTTTTTTAAAACTTTATACAAAATCATATCACAATTACATTTTTGCTATTTTTTTAATACTTCGATTATTTTATTAGCACTTTAAACTTTACTGCAGTTAGTAATTTATCTTCTCAAAAGCTTGCATTCTGTCTGTCCATCCTGTGGGCAGAGAAAAAGTGCGAAAAGTGCAGATCTTTATATTATGTTCAGGCAGCAAATTTCCTTAATTTCGTAAAAATTAAATTAAGTTAATTTCGAAAATGTTCATTCTGCCCCAAATTAAGGACCCAAATTAAGGACTAACCGAATGTTAAAAATTACATGCTCCAAACACCATTTGTATCTGGGAAATTTTAAAAGTTGATTATTATAACTATACAGGATGACATTCAGTAGTTTTATTAGCTTTAGTGGATTTCAAGATGTGAATTATTATTTTTCACTTTAATTTAAATTAATAACAGTTACAATTTTTTTTCTATATTTAAATTTAAAAATTTACGCTAGTTTTAAAATATTTCCCGGTTTTATTAAAATCAACTGTCATTGACGTTTATTTAAAAAAATGTCTTTTTTTCGTTATCTCAACTTTATCTTTTGTATAAAATTTATCTTATGCATAGTTGCATTTAAAATGCCCTTTAATTTCATGCTTCGTTTCACGTTTCAATGAAATTAAGGCCATTTTTCTTAATTTTGTTTTGAACTCAAAACTGAACATTGTATGGAAAAAAAACAACTTAATTTCGCTAAAATGAAGATAAAATTAAGAGTTTTGCAAAATTAAAATATGTCTTAACATAATATTAGGGTTGTCCGCATGTAATTATAGAAATAGATTTGCACTCAAAGGAAACTATGCTAATACCATGTTTCCACTTCTCTTATAGCACATTCACACTATCTTATTTATACGGTTTTGCTCATTATAGCCACTAATGTAGATGATTTATCATACAAAGAGATTTCATATAAATGAGCTCATTATCAACAAATCAGCTAAATTAATGTAAAAAATGTCGAAGGCAACCTTCAAAAATAAATTTCCCACAACGGAAATTACCGACATTTGAAATATGTGTCATATATTTTATAAATAAAATATAAACAAACACCAGTTAGCTGTAAACAAAGGCACTGAGGAATAAGTATTATAATATAATAAGTATATAATTGATTTAATATTTCAAAAAGATATTCAGTTTTTTTATGTGATATATTATTAAGTGGAGCTTATAAACGTTTATAGAAGCTGCATAAATGACCTCATTATAATGTGAACGCATTTATTTTCCAGAAGGAAAATGAGCAAAATTGGAAATATTTGTTATATATTTTATACATAAAATGTAAACAAACATAAGCTGAAGTGTGAATAAATAAATTGAAAAAGTGAGTATTTAAAAAAATATTTGCTTTCATTAATGTAAAATATTACAGGTATATAAAATAAATATAAATGAATTAAATTTTCTTTAAAATATATTGGACCATTTTTCTGTCAATCCACTTTTCATTATTTTTTGTTCTTTTCGTAAATATTTTCATATTAATTTTAAGCTGTATTTAATACTATTTGCTAACTGTACAAACTAAAGTCTAGTAATTCCTCCGATTTCTAGCAATTAATATAATACTACATTCCAATTATTCACTATTTCACACACATTTTAAAATGTGGGTTTTCAATTTTAAAAGAATTATTTTGCACAATATCAACATTTTTCTCTTACAATTAATATGTAAACAAACGAAAGTTTTTTAATAATTTTTTTGACATATTAAAGCTCTTGCTGCTACATACATTAAATCATTATAATGTGAACGCTTAGCTTTTGAATTCATTTACATAAATGAGTGATTACTTAAATAAAGCACTGTGAATCTGTTGTGTGCGAATTATGACAAACGCAAAAGAAAATTAAGCCGCAAAGCAAACAAATTTAAATTTAGTTCATTATTTATTTATATTTTATTACATAGAAACCATTTTTTTTTTGTATGTGTAAAAAAAACAAATTACTTTTTTGGTTTTTACTTTTGTTTTACTGTTCGTTGATGTGTAAACATACCCCAGTAGAAAAAATGGTCTTCGAAGACAGTGTCTTCAAGACGGTCTTTGATACCGCGTCCGCATGTTCAAGCAAATTTGCAAAACAATTGCTCAAAACATGAATGTAAATACTCTTTCTTTGCTTTCTCTCTCATTTTTAGTGTTCATAGCAACGTATTTGAATTTTGCCTCAGATGACGCTATGTTTTATAAATGAAGTGACGCAATAATTTTGAAGTGTAGTAAATAAACATTTGTGAAATAAATATTAAAAAAATCAAAATGAATAAAGAAACAAAATCATTAAACTATGAAATATTAAAAAAAAGAAATTAAATCAAAACAAATTAAATATTGACTTAGTTCCTGGAAAATATATTGATATTAATATTGAAGACAATAACTCCAGTGAAAGTTGTTTAAGAAACGAAACAAAGGATGTTTAAAATAAAAAAACTAAAAACACTTGTGAAAAATTAGCTGTTATATTTAAAAAACACAGGATTAACAGGCGTTGTGGTGATGATATTTTAAACCTCTTAAGATCAGAAGGTTTAATTGTACCAAAATCCTTTTCAACGCTTTTGAAAACATATAAATCTTCAACAATTGATGATAGCGAAATGCTATAAATTATTTTATATTAGTTTTAGTTAATTTTAGATATGTTAAGTTATATTAAGTTAATTATTTAAATTAATTTGTATTACGTTTACTAGTTTTTACTAGTTTATTTTTAATATCTTAATAAAATTTATAATAATTTATAATAAAATTTATAATTTACTTCTAAAACTGTTAATTTTGAATGTAATGTAAAAAATTATTATATAAAATAAATAAAAGTACAAAATACAACAATTTCTTTCTACTTATTTAAAGAGAAAATTGAAATTCATTTAAAATTTAAAGAGCGCAATAAAAGAGTAGAAATAAAAAAAGGGTGAAAAAATTAAATGAGCACTGCACTAAGAGCGCACAACTTTCTGTCGAATGCGTCCGTTATGCAAGACATGGTCTTCGAGACGGTCTTCGAGACATGTACGCAAAAATTCATTGAAGACATTTGGCTAATTTGTATGAAAGTGTCTTCGAAGACCGTCATACATTTGGATCGATCGGTCTTCATGTATGTATCCATGTCTTGAAGACGTCTTCGATGACGGATCGATCCGTTTTCTACTGGGACTTTAAGATCATTTATTAGTGTTATATACTCACATAAGTACATGTATAGGGATATTCACTTTGTCCTGCAAACTTGTTGCATGGTGCATGAAATGCACAAATTGCGCGAACATGCAATGGACAAAAACAAAATACACGCACAAAGTTTCTTGCAATTGCTTACAATCTTCCTAACTCTAAACACATATACATATGTATATATGCTTGCAACGGAGCAAAAAAGGAAAAAAAATTAACCCTATGACAACTGTTTTGATATCTGTTGCTTCTCATTTTTAAAAGCTCAATTAGTCGGTACGTACCACAACAACTTAGTAGTACGTTTCTACTGCTTACTTGGTAAACTTAACTTACTGAGTAAATTTCATTAACCATACAAAGAGCGTCCGTGCTTTTTGCTTACTATAGCATGTAGTAAACAAAATTTGATCAAAATTATACCAAAAAATGACGAATGCAACATTGGAAATGATCGAAATTTGACATATTTGACACATGAAGCAAAATCTAAACATAAACAAACAATCAAAAAATCAAAACAAACAAGAGGTAAGAATTTTTTTAAATATTTTTTTTTTATAAATACAAAATATTTGTTATTGTAGGCAATACTACAATACGGAGATTAGGAAACATGGAAAGTAATATCAAATCGAATGGCACAAAATACCAGAGATTTAGTGAGAGAGATTTTAGAGCTAACTAAATGTATACGACTCAAACTGTAAAGATAAAATCTGGCTAAGACTCACTAACCAGCGCAAAACTGGCACGATTGCAAAGAATATTTGTAGTCTATATAATAATATATAATCGAGAATACAAGGGGATATCGGAGAAATTTTTTAAATTCTGTTACATAAAATAAATAAAATGTTCTCTTACCAGCATTCTATATTACATGTCCAAACTATGGAAATACTAACAGATAAAAGTGTCAATACTAAATCGTGTATGGACGATTTTCTTTTCCATATTACGTTATAGTGCGAGATTTGAATGAGCTTCTAACCGTGCTAAGTGAGGCTATGTGATAAAGGTTTTATTTAGTAAATAGTGAACAATAATTTCTTAGTTATAAGTTTTAATTTTTTAATTTGTAAATATAAAATCTTTGTAAGTTATTTTAATCATATTAAAATCGATTACTTTTATGTACATTTAAGTATAGTAATATATTTTCCGATATAAGTATTCTATAAAATTTTTAAAATGGCAAAATAAAACAACTTTCTTATATTATTCAATAAAATCAATTACTTCTGGGTTTGCGATAAAATAAAAATATGTCTAAATTTTTAAAAGATATACTTGGGATACTCAAAGATTTGCAACAAATCTCATAAACAAATGTTGCGAAGATATTAATTTATATACTTTTAGATATTAGAATAAAAGATTTAATAATTTGTTTAAGAACACTTAATACATATATTTTGCAATGGAAAAAAACAAAATTTTTATTTTAAATATGTTAACTATTTAGATGGATGATCAACATACTTCTCACATATTTTTTCCAAAAAGGAATTTATTCTTCATATAACGAAGGGTTTTCCACGCATTGTGGAAAACCTAAGACTTCTAATCCGGTAATGCACTCTTTCATCCTTTTTTTGCTTAATGCCAAATTTCTTTAAAAAAACCAGGACCATTTTTTTTTAAATAATGTTCCCAAAACTTCTTCGTTCTTTTCTAAAATAGCAACTCATCTAAATTTTACTAATTATTTAATAATATTTACTGCCACCACTTACCAAAATCCAGCACCTTCTTAGGTTTTAAGTAAGAAAGCTTTGTTATTTGTTGTTTTTGAATAATTTGTAATTTTTTATAAATCATTGCATTTTTTTTCTGTATGCAACATTTGTTGCATATATATTAAATTATTTAAATTTTCTGCGTTTTGCATGCTGATTTATTTTCTTCTAACAATACAAAATTTAATGTCATCTGTTTACAATTAAAATGTAAACAGAAAAAAGCTCTAAAACTAGAATTTTTTGACACATTAAAGCTCAATGTTAGTATATGACTTACTAAGTAAGCAGTGGAAACGTAGTATAGTTCATCGCTTTTGTTTATTTCGTTCCTATCAAATACACAGGTATAGTTGGTTGCGCATTTCGCTCTTGCTTAAGCTCACTTACCATAAGTTCTTATGGTACGTATGGACTAATTAAACCTTAAATAGGAATTTGGTAGCGAAAGTAAGTTTGTTAGAATATCATACAAATTTTGATTGTTTAGAATTTTCTAATTATTTTCATATAAAAATGGAAGACAAAGCACCAGCAACTAAAGAGAAGAGGTTGCAGCCTTTTTTATTTATTTTTATTTTTTGTTGTTGAATATGGTACTATTCCAAAAACAGCTGGTTCATTTTGATTTTGCAATTCTGCAATAGAAGTCTTATCGCACATCTTTCATACTAATGTCATAAAAATCGAGTGGTATTTTTATTTAAAAAAGTGTTTAATTATTACAAAAAAAATGTGTTTTAACTAACACCATACCGATAACATATATTAGTGTAAACGTTTTTCACCTTAAAAACTCTACTTTAAAGCTTATATAATGAAATTCAACCGAAACCTAAAAAACGTACAATTATTCACGGAATTTTAGCAAATCGGTTATATTTTTTTAATATAAATTCATGTAAGAATTTTTAAAATCCAGTTTTAAAAAAAATTTATTAACAAAAATTTCTTGTTGGTGTTATATTCAGAGTTATATTCGGGAAGTTATATTAATATTTATTTAATTATAAAATTTTACGAAAAGGTGCCATGTTGCACAGTATTTTTTTTGAAAAATTTATGTATTTTAGAGTATTTTGGAATATATATTATAGAAAATGAATAGTACAATTTTGCAAAATCAACAAAAATATATTGCAAAAAACTAAATAAATATATATACAAAAAACTAAATTTTGTTTTGTAAACTGCCTAATATATGTGAACATATCATATATACTTCAATATATATTAAAAAAAAACCATACAATGTTCCACGGTGTTTTTTCAAATTGTTCATATTTTTCTAACATGAATTTATGTAAGATTTATTAAAATCGAGTAATAAAAAAAGTTATTAACAAAAACTTCTTTTGAAGCATATAATGAGATAGGAAACAAAAACATACGCAGCACATAGGACATAAAACTCAATTATTATATTTATGTTTCTAAATTAAAAAACACATATGTGAAACGTATGGTGTGAAAAACAATATATTGAATTGTTTTTTTTCTTTGATTTATTTTAAAAAAAAAATCATACAGATAGACTCAATAGTTTTTTAAAAACTATTTTAAATATACTTTTCATTTGAATTTAATAGTTAGTAACAGCTGACTTTGTGCGTAGCGCCATCTGTATGTGAATATATACGCTAACAATTTCTTTTCCATTTTTGACTGCGAAGAACTTGGCTACAAGTATTTTTATTGAGCTGTCATTTCTCAAACGACACGCAACGAGTTCGCTTGCTATTTGTTTCTTATTTATTATTGTTTTTAATTTTTTGCATGCATGAGAGTTATTTATAACAGCAACAAAAAAAAAACTAAACATTAAATGTAATCAATTTGTTTTCAAGTGAAAATATTACCGAATAGTGCCTTAAAAAGCCTCTGCACAGTGCAATAAAAACGCCATCGCAGCGAAATTGTGTAATTTGTATGCAAATGGGAAATTGAGCTCTTGTCAAATTGGAGCGGAGCCATTAATAATTTAAGTTGGAAATGCCACTAAAATTTCTGAAGAAATGTCGGCAATACAACGTAACGTCGAAAAATTTATTTGTGATATCCGTGCATCATTTACTCGGTGAGTGGAAAAACCGAAAACCAAACAAAAAATGCGTAAAAAGTTGCAATAACAAATTTAACTGAAAACTTCTTTATATTCTGGATAAAATTACTTTATATTACTCATTAAAATAAAATTTCGATCTTTATAGTACTTAAACTTAAAAATAATTTGTTTTGCAATTCTAATATTTGCTTGACAGAATTTACCAAAAGTTTTGTTTATTTTTGTACGCCTTTCTTGCAAATTCTGCACCGACGCCTATTTCTTTTGCAATTGTGGACCAATCCATGACATCCATGTATAGAAATTTAATGGAAAGTATTAATTGTTTAATTGCAAAGTAAATAAATAAAATGTAAATACTCGAATTTCAATGAAATTCATTTGGCCTCAGTTTTGAGCAGTATTCATTGCACACTACGCACGGCACTTCCGACGCTCACATGTTTGTGTACTTTAGTGCTAATTAATTAATTTTTCTATATATGCCTAAATTTAATATTTTTGACATAATCTTAATAAAAAAATAAATAATTTTTGTTTTTTAACCGTCTGTCCAAAGTCGGCTGGTGCAAAATCCTTATCCTGTAAGGATATAAATTAAATATGTAATAAATAATAATTTCCTAAACAGTTAAAATTCAAATTTATCTCAGCTTTCTGATTTATAAGCATTTAATATTATGTTATTGTTAGTTACGAGGGTCACTATTTATATCTTGAGCCTAATAATGAAAAAATACTAAGTTATTTGAAATTCCTTTATTGTTTCTTCAAATATTCTCAATTTTCCTTTATGATTAATACACTTTTGCATGCGTTCGACCCATTTGTCGAAGCATTTTTTCCAATTTACTTCAGACACTTCCAAAACATGGTTTATAAATGCAACAACGGCTTCTGAAGTCATTGGGTGCCAAGTCAGTACGCAGTCTGTATGGCGGATGACCCATCAATTCGATTTTTTGATTGTTCAAAAGATAAGATGTGACCACTCGCACATCTTAACTTCAAAATAATAAAATGTTCTTTGATATAAAATGTTCTTTGACACATTTTATTATTTTTATCTATCTGTATTAATCTCACATTATTAGTTTTAAATGTTCTACAATGTGAGTCCCTAAACCTGAATGTGAATGTGAGACCCATGTGATATTATTATTGACAAAATCCATAGTAAAAGATATTATGCAGATATTATAATTTATAAATACCACAGTTTTTGAATTTACTCTGTATTAAATATATGTCATGAGTTTCTTAACTGAACATTACACTACAGTATTTTTGCTATATCTTCCTACATTTTGTTAATAGACGGTAGGCGCTATAAAATCTTATATAGGATATAGAACAAAAAAGGAACACTTAGACTGTAGACCATTTCATTCTTTAGTCTATTTGGTTGTCTCACTACTAATTCATAACTTTTAATTTAGTTTTTCTTCAAATGGATTGAATTTACTGTGTAGAGGTTTATTTAATCAAAGAATATCAAATTCACTTTACTTGACTGACCTATTGTGGTGTTAAAAGAATTTAAAAAAAAGTTTATATTACATTTTTTTTTTGGATGTATTCTGTTATAAAAACATTGCTTTGATAGCAGATAATTATTTTAAATATTGCTTTTTAATAAGCGTGTGGCGTTAAAACATATTTTAAACAATATTTAGAATGCAAACTAATAATATGATACGATAAAAGAGATAAAAGAGATGTGAATATATAAATGTTGCGTTTTGTGTACGTGTAGTTATTTATTTGAAATAAATAAATCTGATTCTATTGTTATCAATAATGCTGACATTTTTTATCAGGTCTATAGGTTAAATGATAGAGTTTAATAAAGCGTTTACACTGGTCCTAAATGACTCATTTTTATTCATTTGTTTACATTTCAAACAGCTGATTTGTCAACTTATATTTTATTTGAATAGTCGTAATTTATTTTATTTACATTTACTAGGTGTACCGGTATGAAGTGAGCGTAAAGATACAAATGTTCCGACAGGGAACATTTGTTGTGAACGAGCCATTTTTTTTGTTTTTGTTTGTTTGCTATGACATGTGTGAAATATATTTAGTATACATCAAGTCATTAAACAGACAACATCATATTTTTTCATCGTGTTAAAAATGTCGAATTTTGTACCAGAAAGTAATGATTTGCGGAAAGCATTAATTTTTTGTTTTCATTTGAAGAAAAGTGGTGCAGAGTCGCATCGAATGCTTGTCGAGGCATATGGTGATCATGCTCTATCAGAAGCAATATGCAAAAGATGGTTTCAACGGTTCAGAAATAATGATTTTGATGTGAGAAATAAAAAACGTGGAAGATCGCCAAAAAAGTTTGAAGACGCCAAATTGCAAACGATATTGGATGGAGATGACACTTTGGGTCAAAAGCAAATGGCAGAAATGTTAAATGTTGCACAACAAACAATTTAACAATTTCTGACCGTTTAAAAGCTATGGGAAAGATCCAAAAGTGTGGAAAATGGGTGCCACATGAATTGAATGAAAGACAGATGGAAAACCGAAAAAACACTTGTGAAATTTTGCTTCAAAGACACGAAAGAAAATCGGTTTTGCATCGGATTGTTACTGGCGATGAAAAATGGATTTATTTTAAGAATCCTAAACGGAAAAAATCATGGGTTAATCCGGGACAACCATCAACATCGACTGCAAAACCAGATCGATTCGGCAAGAAGACAATGCTGTGTGTTTGGTGTGGTGTGGTGTACCACGAGCTCCTAAAACCTGGTGAAACCATCAATGCTGGTCGCTATGAACAACAAATGATAAATTTGAACCATGCATTGATCGAGAAACGACCAGAATGGGCCAGAAGACACGGCAAGGTAATTCTGCTCCATGACAATGCACCTGCACACAAAGCAAAACGGGTTCAGGATGCAATCAAAACACTTAGCTGGGAGCTGCTACCCCACCCGTCGTATTCACCAGACTTAGCTCCTTCCGACTACCATTTGTTTTCATCGATGGGACACGCATTGGCTGAGCAGCACTTTGATTCCTACGAGGAGGTCGAAAATTGGGTGTCTGGTTGGTTTCCTTTAAAAGACGAACAATTTTTTTGGCGTGTTGTCCACAAATTGCCAGAAAGGTGGTCAAAATGTATAGAAAGCAGTGGCCAATACTTTGAATAAAATGTTTTTTACTTTCCTATTAATAATTAGTGTTTTATTTTCACCAAAAAACGCTCATTTCATACCGGTACACCTGGTATTTGTTAAAAATGAACGTTCAAAATGAAAGATTGATTATTACAGAACAATTGAGTTATATAGAAAAAATAAATTTTTTTTCTTTTCAATATACGAGATATAGAATTTCTGGCCTTTTGAAATGTCATTGAGTGCATAAAATATTTTAGTCTATTTTGTAAGATACTCATTTTATGGGGGAGTAAGCTGCAGTTAGGGCACATATTGTAAATTAACACATTTATGCGTGACAAGTAATTGTTTAGCACGTGGCTATATTCTGATCTCAGTTCTTGTTGCACGGGATGGGCGTTGTTCTGCCCCAGAAATATTGGGCGGAGACCTACTACATCTGTATGGAAGTCTGTTACTACCTGTGTAGCACGCAAGAACATATTGCTTATGCAGTAGTAGATTACGTTCTTTTACAAAAAGTATTTCAGATTCTGCATGCAGATGGTTTTGCGATATGTGATAGCAATCGGTCTTAATTCGCAAAACGATTTTTTTTAACATGATTGGATATTATTCTATTCATGGAATAATTGCTCTATAGTAATTGGCATAGTTCTATTAAGAAAAAATTGTGCCTGGATTATGGACATTAAAAAAGAGTATATGGAGTGCAGTACAAGAAAGTTAATAACGCGTTCTTCTGAAGAAAACAACTAATTGAAAAATTAATATTACAATTTTTATTTTAACTATACATTGTATAAAATAAAATAAAATAAGTAAATCTTATATCTCTATCTCAAACCTCACTTAGATCAATTGGTTAGATTTCATTGGAGTGAATGTTAGGTTGTTTATTAAGAAAGCAGTTCAACTTTATCAGATTACTTAAAAGAAAGGTGCGGTTTCTACTTCAAGCTATTGAACATTAATTAATGGCTGGACGGTCAGTTCTTTTTAGACAGGAAGTAATGGACGAAAGAGCGAGATTCCTTGCTAAGGAGTTAACATGTTCTGTCAGCCCTTCATTGTTAACTATCGTTAATTAAGGGAATTTGTAGAACTCAGTGGATACTTTCATTCCTAATATACCATGGTGCACCTGTAATTGTTCTCAGTATTTTTGACTGAGCTTTTTGAATAATTTTAATATTTGAAGCTAGCATTACCAAATAGCTGGAAATCATAAGTCCATATTGGTTTTATGATGCTGTAATACAAGAGTACTTTATACTCTAAGCACAGGGAAGATCTGGAGCTTTATCTGGATTTTTTTGGCTTTAATATGTTTGCGCCAAGTAAGTCGTCTGTCTAGGTAAATACCTGAGTACGTTATATTATCTGCTTGTGGTATGTAAATGTTATTTAGTAAAATTGTTAGAAATGTACTTCAATTTAAGGTAAAAATGACGTGTCTAAATTTTAGTTCAATAATTTTAATTCGAAATTTTGACAACCATTTCTCCAGCCAAAACCAACTTTTTTGTTTAGGCATACAATTGCCGTATCAACGGTGACAACTGAACTACTTATTGGGATATCAAATGTATAAAGTACATACAAGATAGGACCAAGAACACTTCCTTGTGAACCGTCAGCTTCTATTGGGAAGTTGCGTGGGAAATGGTGCATGTAGATGCTGCGTGGGAAAGTCATAATGTCCTGTTGCAGGATTTGGTTGGAGCACCTCTTTTACGTAATCAGCAAAACTGTTAGATTTTTCTTCGTTGCTTCGCGCTCAGTTTCGGAGAGAATTTCTTATTGGAGAATCGGATTCTATGGGGGAATTTATACCTTTGCTAGCATTCCATAAGGATGAATGTT